ACTTTTTGCTTGCCCTCAAGCAAAGTATGCCTCTCATTTCACACAAAGAGGATTTGCTCAAGACTAAGATTCACCCAGGAATGGATAAAATTGGCTCAAACACAAATGATGCAAACAAGCCATGGTTTCAAATGTTTAGAATCAAACAGTGCACAAGAACTAACTTCTTAAAGCAAATATAAAGTCATGCATCAATCAACAACTATGCTTTTCATGAATGAATTACTCTATCTCTCCTCTTCGAATAAGGATTGAAGAAATTACGCGTTTGCAACCGCGGAGACAATTGCACTCAACTAACAAACAATGCCAATATCAATTCAATTCATACAAAATCTAACAATCAAAAGAGAAAATATGGAAGCAAGAAGATCACTAAGGTCTTTAAGGTTGTAGCTTGGTCGGGTTTACAAACAAGGGACATTTTTAAGGCCATTGAAACGAAATTGCCGATGCAAAAGAGATATTCACCGTACACGTTATTTATACATCTCAACTTCATTCCATTCATTGCTTAATTGCAAACCTTCCCAACTTTATTTCACAACTTATTCTTCCACTATTTTTCTTTTCCAAGCAAACACTCTTTTTTTTTTCTTTTTTCTTTTTTTTCTTTTTTCATATTCACAAATTTTTTTGGGTGCTTGCTTGAATTTTTCAAAAGTTGTAACAACCTACTATCTTCCTTTTTCATTCGCCCCAACTTAACTTTTACTCAACCCTCAAGTGAATGCTCTTAGCTTTTTATGGAAAAGAAGACAATTAAAACAAATTCAAGGGTTTAAGAAAATTTTTAGAATCTCACAAAATTAAGAATGAGATTCACATTGTTTAGGCTCAAAGGGGTTAACGAATTCTCTCTATTCACGGGTAAGTTGCATTTGGACATGGTTGTGCTCAATACAAACAAGTGCCTTGATCATTTCTAATGCTTCCACAAATTCACAATGATAACAAGATAAAGCATGAATCATATGAATCAACAAAGTTTATCAGAAATCCAACATTTAGTAAACAATGGAAGTTTTCTTACAAATTGTGGGTTTTTGGTCCTAAGTGAAACAATAATTCAAACAAGTTGCCAAAAGAACAAATTTCATTTGCACAAAGACTTAAGTTCTTAAGCATTCTAAAATTCTAAACAAAGGAAAACATGTACCTTGACAACATTCACTTGTTTCATACTATCATTGTCATTCAAACTCGGTCGAAGCTTCATTAAATGCTTTTATACCGATAGAAACCACTCTAGAAGGAGTTTTCGTCATTCCTGAACACACTAGAAAAAAAACATAAAAAGAAACAAATATATACAAAATATACAAAGCTTAAAAACATAGAACTGTTGCAATGCACTTCAAAATCTCAACATCAATCCTCGGCAACGACGCCATTTTGTTGATGCGGTAAAGCAGCAAGCAAAAAATATTAAGTACCCAGTTTTGTCGTCTCCACAGGGATTAGTGCAATATGAACGCCGTTCAACGATTTCTATATTTCTAAACTTATTGTTCAAAAGTTTTGGTTTAAAGGGTTCAAAGAACCATAGATAAAAACAAAAAATATAAAATAAAGACTGAAATATAAACGGAGCCTTGTTGGGATTGGATTTCATCAATTGATAACACATGCATTCTTCTAATCAAATTAAACACAACGCAATCATTCATCTAATATCATCACATATCACTCACGACAAAGCTTATCTCTAACACGACATCGAGAGAAAACCATGTTGTCTCATTGGTGATCTCTCACCCAACAAAAACACAACACAAAGCATTAAGATCTGATACTCACACAAATGCTAAGCCTAAATCTATCTCTAGTGTTTAGGACCTAACCAATAATCATCCTAGATCCAGATCCAAAAAGTATATCTCTATCACGGTTCAAGTCAAAGATTAACAGGTAAACAAGAATGAAACCCATATCAGATAAACAATTGTTTTGCCTAAAACACAATGATCAAAATACGTACACACGCTTAACCCTTTTTTACATGTATTCATCTAATCCGCCAAATGGTTATGAACAACATTCTTCATCACTATTATCACATACCCACACAATATCATATTGATCCTACCCATGCTACCCATGCTACTTAATCAACACAATACCATAGAGGATAAAATGAATATCAACTTCAGAACCATGTCAAAAGTTTGTTCATTGATAGAAGAATATCTGAGATCAAAGATGTGAAAAGGTTTTGTCAAGATCCACAAATACATAATCAAAGATATTCAATCAATAGAGAATCTAAAATAAGTTCAAAAACATATATTAGATGAAATACATAAGGTATCAAAAGATTACAATCCAAACCCCAACAAGAGATCGAAGATCTTACCTCCTCCCTCTTAGGGTTTTGTGTTTCTCTCTCTAGAAGAAATGAAGAAAAATAAGCTCTGATGTCTAGAATAGAAAAAATACAAGTTATGGAAGTTATGACCTAAAAAACACTAAAAACACTTAAATACCCCACTCAGTCTGGGAGCGTTCGCTACCTGCTCGCCTAGCGAACAGCTAGCGAGCGTTCGCTTCTTTATTCGCTCCAGCGAAGTTTGGCACTTTTGGCTCTGTCCTATTCTGGGCGCGTTCGCTGGCCTGCTCGCCTAGCGAACAGCTAGCGAGTGTTCGCTACCTTGCTCGCTATCAGCTCGCCTAGCGAGCATGACAACATTTTGGTGGTTTTGCATGTTGTTTTGGTTTCCTTGCCCATTTCTTGTGTCTTACTTTTCACTTGTTTTGTGTCTAATTCCTGCACAATAACACACAAATCAAAGGTACCAAGAGATTTTCTCATAATGTTGCAAACCAACCAAAATAAGAGTGGTTTTCAACACTTAATTGACGAAAATAAGTGAAAAATACCAACATTTGATAGATCAAATAAGTGAAATTTGACATCTAACACGAACCCAACCCATTGATATGTTACACCAGGAACGAAACCACTAATAACAAAGTGTAGGCACATGCCCCCACTTATTTTTATTATACTATTAAATATATATAGTTTTCATTTAAATGGCTATTTTGAATGTTATTTCATATATGTTTCTTTCTTGGACAACAATTTTGTTGAATTTTAAATTTTTAGAGTACACTCTACTGTTTTATTTGTTTAATTTAGATTTTTTTTTTCTATTGAGTGACTATTAATTGTTAAATAATTTCAACTACAACTATTGAAATATTTATTTATTTTTCTATAAATATCTTTATGAATCATATTCAAAATGACATGTTTTTGTTATATTTTTAAAGAAAAAATTTATATATAAATTTGTCCCCCCTATTTAAAATTTCTGTCTCCGTTCCTGTGTTACACTATTTTTATTTTATTTTATTTATAAATTATCTAACATAATTCTTACAATGTATATATATTATTTAATATAATTATAATTTTTATTAATTATAAAAGTCTAAGTCTAAATCAAAGTTGAGAGATCAATTTTATTTATTCAAAGAAAGATATATCTTATTTTTTAAATTATACTTTATACCATTTATATATTTTTCTAACTTTATATGAATTGTAAAAGAGTTTTCAGGTATTAACCAATAAATTTAATTCAAATTGAATACTAAAAGTTTATGATTTTTTAATATTTTTGTAATATGAATATGTTAATTAAATTGATATATTTTATTTAGAATGTGAAAATTATATTTAGTGGATGACCCACGAACCCAACTCAACCCAATCCATTGATGAGCGGATTGATTTGGTTCCGGTTTAATACTAAGTACGGATTGAACACTCAACCAGCTCAAAGAATATTGATCGGGTCGGATATTTGATTTAATCAATTAGACCCAACTCAACCCGCGAACATCTTTTTATATAATTTTGTTATAATGACAAATTTATTCAACCAAATTATCTAATTTTATTCAGTTTAGTCATGCGGTTCGACCAATAACTCAATAGTTCGACCAATGAAACAATAACTTAATATTCTCACTGATTCAGTCTAATTTTTAAAACATTAATTACTATTATTATTGACTTTAAAATGTATAACTTTTCTCCATATATATATATATATATATATATATATATATATATATATATATATATATATATATATATATATATATATATATATATATATATATATATATATATATATATATATATATATATATATATATATATATATATATATATATATATATATATATATATATATATATATATATATATATATATGGAGATAATTTAGAAAATAGCTGTTTTCTTGGCTACATAGATAAAAATGATTAACTATTTTTTTTAATGATTCTTACTAACCACAAAAACTAATTTTCACAAGACGCGTATTTTAATTATATTTTATTTTCAATGGAGCATGTGATATAGAATCATCTTTGATTTTTCTTTTAATCTAAAGCTTACAATTGCCAAGTGCTCTAGAAAAAGAGAAGCAATAATCTAACATGTTTTGTAGAAAATATGCTAGTAACAAACTTTTTAATTATATTCGTTTCTAATACACTTTTTTTAATAAATGAAATATCTTTTGCAATTACAAATTCTAATCAATGGAGGTGGTTATAATAAACGATAAATCTCTTATTAAAAATATTTAATACGGTAATATTGTTGGGATGGTTTACCTTAGAAAGTGGCGTTTGTTTTCTGTTCCACTTTGTTTCCAGCAATAATCAACTTGTTAGAAAACATTATGAAATTGTTTTCCAGCAGTGTCGTTTGAATTTTGTAACACAAGTGATTATTATCCAAAACCACTCACTTTGCCTCCGTCAAACGTGTACAAAACCACACCAACAATATCCATTTGCGCCCCTTGAATCACCTCTCACATTATTTGACTCATTTTTTATATATATATAATGCCTCACTCATTTCAACCATCACCCATTCACCACCCACACCTCTCTTTTTATTTTATATAAACATTTTACATAATAATCACATCCACTATTATTTACCTTGCGAGTGAAGAATAGAAAAAAAAAAAATGGAAACTCAAGAGAATCAACAGGAATCATGGTCGGAGCCAGAAACCACCACAGAAAGCCGAAACTCCCGAGTGGGCTTCAGCGGCCCTCTTAGTGGGCCGCTGAGCGGGCCTTTAGTAACTAACAAGCACCGTAAAGGAAGCAAGAACAAAAGCGCGAGGTTTAAGAACGACGATAATGAATTGGTGGAAATAACACTGGACGTCCGTGACGACTCCGTTTCCGTTCAGAACATTCGAGGTGGAGATTCTGAAACGGCTTTTCTAGCAAGCCGGCTTGAGATGAAGCCCTCGTCGCTTTCGTCTCGGCTGAGACAGGTTTCGCAGGAACTGAAGCGCATGACATCTTTTAAGACGTTCGATAAGGTTGATAGATCGAAATCCGGTGCTGCTCGTGCTCTACGAGGTCTTAAGTTTATGACAAAAAGTGTTGGTAGTGATGGTTGGTCCCAAGTTGAGAAGCGGTTTGATGAATTGTGTGTTGATGGAAAATTGCCAAAGACTCGCTTTAGCCAATGCATAGGTACGTCAATATACAGAAATACAGACAAACGAACAAACAGAAATATCTTAACTAAATTTTGAATATTTTTTATCAAATTTTGAATTACATTGGAGGTGAAAATGAAAACTATTATAGGAATGCATGAATCAAAAGAATTTGCTGGTGAGTTATTTGAAGCGTTAGCACGTCGTCGAGGTATCACCGCGGCATCCATAACAAAGGAAGAGTTGCGAGAATTTTGGGAGCAGATTACTGATCAAAGCTTTGATTCAAGGCTTCAGACATTTTTTGACATGTAAGAACACTTCTTAATTTCCCTTCTATTTTGTGTAATAAAAAACTCATCAACTTTTTTTTTTAATAATGAAAATTTTAAGTTGTGACTTGTTATGTGAGGGCATGAAAGAGATGGGAAAACTGGTTTTATTGGCTTCAAAATAGAAATGTGTCCGTATTTGGACAAAAATGTCGAAGTTGAGTGTTTAGTTTTCTAATCATGTTTGAGTAAAAAAAATAATAAATCTAATCATGTGGAAAATCGTTACACATTGTGTGGACTTGGCTTAAAATATTTTGCAATTGTTTATAATGGCCAAACAACTCTTTGTTGCTTAATTGAACTTGCTTTCTTTTTTTAGACGGAACTTGTTTCCTAATATTATATAGTACTACTACTTACTATTTTTTAAAATTTATTAATGAATTGATGAGCATGTTAATTATTGCAACCAAAAAAAGGTTGAATCTTATTGGAGTAATGTCAATTGCAACATTTTTAGGTGAACACTCTCACACCTCTTAAATTAAAAAACAATAATCATGATTTTGATTTGTACAGATAAATAAATTAAAATTTTTTAACATATTTTAAAATAAAATAATTTTAAATATGAGATTAGATTAAATATTATTGTTTTATTAAATGAAAGTATCAATGATAAATTAAATTTAAGGATATCAAAGTATTTATCAAATTTTTATTAACTATCGTTGTTCTTGTATAAAGTATGATTTGAAGATCTTTAATATTAATTTTTTATATATATATAATTATTATACTAAAAAAATTATATTATTCAATTAAAGGAATTTGTTTTATAGAATTTCCTACATATTGTTTGGAGAGCTTAATAAATTTTGTTGGAGAAGATGAAAAAAATTAAATTGCAAATATACAAAATTTGTGTAAAAATAAAAATATCATATATTTTTTTATAAAATGTGTTCCGGTGTGGGCCTCACCTCGGCAGGCCCAATACCAAATACGGCCCAACAGGCGAACTGAGCACACCTGGCACACGCCCCTTCGGACGAGCAGGACCGTCCGCCGGGCACAAGCCATCACGCCGCTTCCCCTTCGTCGTCCGTCACACCAGACGAGCGAGACTACCCGGGCTCCCTCCGCGGGAGAATAACGTGCTCGGCGCACGTTCTCCACGTGCTCCCCTCCGCGGGGACACGTCATCGGCCAACCGCCCACCTCCGAAAGAGCAGGTCAAACCCACTTTCCGGAGACCTAGGAGCGGTTGAACTAGGGCGAAGACCACGTCCTGGTCTTCACTACGCCACGTAAGCCCTAGCAGTCATTAGGGTTGGGCCTGGTCGTCTGGCCCACCTCGAATGACCGTTGGCCCAGCGCTGGGGTCTCTCTATAAATACCCTCTTCTTCAAGAGGGTCAGGTAACTCTTCTTGCCCCCCTTTTCTGTACTATTGCTTCCTCTCTGTCCAACTTCTTACTTGGGCGTCGGAGTGCTTTGCAGGTACACCCCCTCCTCATTCTTACCTCGGCGAACAGATAACCGTCCGGCGAAGCGTGGCCAGTCCGTGATCCCTCCTGATCAGGTCAGATCAGTGGCGCCGTCTGTGGGAACGGAAACTTCCCCGTTACTCCGAGCAGAAAAACCAAAAGTTTCACCAAACCTCCACGGTTATGGCCAGCCCACGCCGCGACGACACTCCGCTCGATCTCGCGCTCAACACTGCCACCAACGGGAAGCAGGTAGGAACGGCGCGCCTGAATGAAGCCGACGAAAGAGACGGGCAAACCGCCTCGCCATCGTCCGAGGAAAGGCCCCTGCATGCCGACCATCGCCCCCCGAGCCCGCCGGCATTCCACCCTGTTCCCATCCCGGCGGGAGCGGACCCCACGGTAGCCGCCCTCTTTGCGGCCATCAACCAGACGAACCAGCTGCTGTCCCAACAGAACGCTAGAATTGGAGCGTTGGAACGCGGCGGCTCCCCGAGGTACCCCCAGCGGGAAGACCAGAACGGAGGTTCGAGGAGCCCCTCACCTCGACCCAGGAACCGCCGACCGCGGTTGGAGAGACGCCGCCCCCAAGCGACACGGGAACGCACCAGATCCCCGGCAAGACACGGTCGCGGGAGGAACCAGAACGCCGCGGCGACCCCAACCGAGGAAACCCGAGGCGGGAGCACAGGCCGGAGATCGAGGGCCCGAAACCCGGGACACACCGCGACCGGCTCATCCCCCCTGAGATCCCCGGCGCACAGCGACGAGGATGACTACCGCACCCCACTATCCCGGGAGATCATGGCGGCCCCTATACCCCAAGGAATGGAGAAGCCACCGACGCTGTCAACGTACGACGGCACCTCCGACCCGGACGATCATCTGGAAGACATCGAGGCCATGCTCGACTACCGCAATGTCCGGGGAGCTATCAAATGCAGACTCTTCCCGACGACTCTGAGGAAAGGCGCTATGACCTGGTACAAAAGCCTGGAGCCCGAATCAGTTACATCGTGGAGGGTCTTGAAGGACCTATTCTCCAAACACTTCACAGCGTCCCGGCGTCACCCGAAGACGGAAGCGGTCCTCGGGGCGATCATCCAAGGCCCCGACGAACCCCTCCGGAAATACATCGAAAGATTTACTCGGGAAGCCGTACAGGTGACGACTTCCGACGAAATGAAACGCTACTTAATGGAGCAAGGCCTGCGCCATGACTCCAAATTCTACGAGGCCGTGGGCATACACCGGCCCACGTCCCTCCAAGACTTCCTCGACAGGGCCGCCCACTACATCCGGTTCGAGGAAACACAAGCGGCCAACTCCGCCCGCGACACCCGAGACAGAGAAGCCCCCCGCGGGCACCGAGACGACGGAGCTTCGAGCCACCGGCGAGGAGGGGACCGCCGTCGGGATGACCGCCACCGCGAACCCCGCGAACAGCGCGAGTCGCGCGGCCCGGCAGGAAGGTTCACCGAGTACACCGCCTTGGTCGCTTCCCGCGAACGCATACTGGCCGAATGCGCTAAAACCGAGTTTGTGCAGGGAGGTGTCCGTTTTCCACGACCAACGCCGCCCAAACCCAACGTGGACAAGTCAAAGTACTGCCGGTTCCACAGGACCCACGGGCATGTAACGGAAGACTGCATCCATCTCAAAGACGCGATCGAAATCCTAATCAAAGATGGGCACTTAAAGCGATACACCCGGGGAGGTGAACCACCCAGATCGGAGGCCCCGGAGGCAAAGAAAATCGAGGAGCTCCCCTGCCCAGAAGACGGTGAGAGACTCCAGGTCGCGCTGTGCGTCAGCCGCCCCGAGGACTGGTTCGCAAGCAGAGGACTCGGCATCCCCGAAGCACCCAGCTTAGTCGGCGAGCCAATCCGACCAACCAGCCGATGGGAATACTTCCCCAGAGCCATGGTCATCTCTGATGGCGCTCCGAGGAGTCTGTCCATAGGATCTGTGAAAAGGAAATTCGACGAACTCATCGCGGGCAACTCCGGCAAGATGAGCACGCTCGACAGATTCCGAGGCCGCTCCAACCCGATCACGTTCTACCTCGAGGAACTACCCGGGGGATCTCCCAATTCCAACATACCCTTGCTCATACGCGCACGTATGGCAAACTTCGACGTCAGGCGCCTCCTCGTCGACGGAGGGAGCTCGGTTGACATAATGTACTCACATTTGTTCACAACTCTCCAGCTCAACGAGTCCAACCTCTCCCCCTACGTAGGCTCCGACCTCCAGGGGTTCAACGGGACGACGACAAGACCCTGGGGATACGTGGAACTGAAAGTCACCTTTGGGGAAGAGGAAACGGCCAGAGACATCAGCATCCGCTTCTTAGTCATCGAATGCCCGTCCTTGTATAACTGCATCCTGGGCAGGACAACGATAGCAGAACTCACCGCGGTACCCTCCACCGCCCACCTGAAGATGAAATATTACACGAGAAGGGGAGCCGTGGTCACCCTCAACGGCGACATCGAAGCTGCCCGAAGGTGTTTTGAAGCCGCGCTGAAAGGCTTCGACTCCATCGCTCCACCGACCAAAAAGAAAGCACCGAGCGCCACGCCAAAGGACAAGCCAACAGAGCTGGTCGGATCAGTTGAGCTCGACAGTCGCTTCACCGACGAGCTCGACAATAAAAAGACTGACGCGGCCAACGAGCATCCAGCGCGCCCCATCCCGGATGGCGATTTCGAGCTCATTCCCCTCGGGGACGACACGACCAGAACCGTAAGGGTAGGCGCAGGACTCCCCGACCTCGCGAAACGACAGCTCCAAGCCTGCCTCCGCGAGAATGCCGACCTCTTCGCCTGGAGCGCCGCGGAAATGCCGGGACTCGACCCTGAGGTCGCCTGCCACCAGCTGTCCATCAGCCCGACCGCAAAGGCCGTGGTGCAACGCCGTCGCCGCCAGTCTCCAGAAAAATCGGCAGCAGCCGAACAAGCTGTAAAAGACCTCTTAGAGGCAAATTTTATTTCGGAAGCCCGGTATTCCACCTGGCTGTCCAACGTTGTACTTGTTAAAAAGAATAATGGAAAATGGCGCATGTGTGTTGACTACACTGACCTCAACCGGGCATGTCCTAAGGACGCCTACCCCCTCCCCAACATCGACAAGCTCGTCGACAACTCGGCGGGCTTCAAACTCTTGTCCTTCATGGACGCATACTCGGGATACAATCAGATCCCGATGGCCGAACACGACAAACAGGCCACAGCCTTCATGACAGCATCGGGCAATTACTATTACAACGTAATGCCTTTCGGCCTCAAAAACGCCGGGGCCACGTACCAACGGATGATGAACCGCGTCTTCCACGAGGAGATCGGGGACATGCTCGAAGTCTATATGGACGACATGATCGTCAAATCCGGCGCGGAAGACGACCATGCGGCACATCTCCAGAAGGTCTTCAAGACCGCGAGATCATGTCGCATGCGCTTTAACCCGGAGAAATGCACTTTCGGCGTCTGCGCCGGTAAATTCCTCGGCTACTACTTGACCGAACGGGGGATCGAAGCCAACCCGG